GTCTAACTCCAGGCAATGGTGAGCAACATGCATGTAGTAGTGTCATAATTACGTGTGCTGGCTTATTTTTAAATTCTGGCTAAAGTTACCTGGGACACCCTGTATATAAAAACGCAAGAAAGAAAAGAATCCAGAAAAAGACACCGGTGCCCGAAACCGAACGTGGGACCTCCGAAATATGAGTGCGAGGCACTAGTTAATGAGCTATGAGGGAGCACCTCTTTCAGCGTTCAAACGGCAAGCTTTTTATATCTACCACTTACCGCTGTTGACGGGTATATCGAGGGGAACTATCGTGTTTTGAGCACTACTAGCAACATGGCGCATTGAGCACGCGTCACCATATCGTCACGGCGCGGCGGCGCGTGCTCTCATCCCACGCGTACTTAGCCCCGTAGACAGAAGGGGGGTAGACGCTCACTCGCGTGCCCTTATCTCGCGGTGGGGAGGATCCGTCATCTTGACTGGCCTTGGGCTTTCACCGGAATGATTCTGTTCTAGTTACCGGACGCACAAAGGTCACTGCGATCGTTGCACAGTCTCCGTTTTTGAAAAGGGCGCGCTTTTGAGACACTGCTAAGTAACAACTGAGACGCTTATTCGCGTTCGTCTGTACCTGTGAGTACATTTTGTGCGTCATTTGTGCGTGTCAAACGGGGGGCACGTTTCGATATGCTTGCTATTCTGCGCATGACCTGCTAGAACACCCTTCCCTCTATGCCCCTTTGCCACATTTTTTTCTCTGTGTCCTTAGGTACCTGTAAATGCATATCAAATACTACTACTATTACTACTATTACTACTACTACTACTACTACTACTACTACTACTACTACTGCTGCTGCTGCTACTACTACTACACTACTACTATTACTACTACTACTACTACTACTACTACTACTACTACTACTACCACCGGGAGGCCTCTTTTGTCTCTAATCATCTTCCTCTTCGCTTTCCCCTTTTTTCTTGTTCACTAATCCAGTTTATTGTTTGCTTTCTTTACCTTATTCCCCGCCGCGGTGGTCTAGTGGCTAAGGTACTCGGCTGCTGACCCGCAGGGCGCGGGTTCAAAGCCCGGCTGCGGCGGCTGCATTTCCGATGGAGGCGGAAATGTTGTATGCCCGTGTGCTCAGATTTGGGTGCACGTTGAAGAACCCCAGGTGGTCTAAATTTCCGGAGCCCTCCACTACGGCGTCTCTCATAATCATATAGTGGTTTTGGGACGTTAAACCCCACATATCAATCAATCAATCAATCAATCAATCAATCAATTATTTACCTTATTTATTTCTATAGTCTTTCTACTTTTTCCTTTGTTTCTCTTATAGTTTGTTGTTTGCTTCCTTCTCAAATGTTATAGATGTTTTCGTTGTGTTTCTTAAGTCATAGTAGTAACGTCTTCGGTTAATATAATCATCAAAGCCTCGGGGAATAAAGAAAACGAAGACTACCGGACTTTTTATAACTCAGATAGTATCATTTCATCCTAGTCCACTATCACATCGGACACAAATGGTGATTCACCTTCCAATACTGTTCGAAATAATACGCCCGCTTGCTTCGACTTTCAAATATGTCCGGCTTTATGCTAAATACACGAAGTTTAAAGATACATTATGATTAGGCTTAAATGAACAGGCAGGACAAAGCGAGCAGGCAAAGCATCTTCATTTATGTCAGCTATTAGGTGCTACTAAGGATAAAAGCCAAGTTCGGTAAGTAGTCAAGTGGAAGTAGTACTCATTCTCCATGGTGGAACACTGACGGTGATCACGGCTATAGGCGACGAAAAACAGCATGGAGGAAACTAATGTACAGCCAGTGTCAACGTAATCGGAATGACTATAAATATGTAGGTGCTACATTCACACTAATGGTTGAGAGAGCAAAAGAAGAGTACAACTACAGACATTACAGGTATATGCCGGAGACAAAAAATAAGAAAGCCCTATTTAGGTTTTTACGGTACAGAAAGATTGTTCCGTCACGAATAAATCTAGAATCGATTTGTTTATCATCCGCAGAATTGCAGCCAATGAAAGCAATCAGAAGATGCCTAGAAGATCGCTGTGCATTAGTGCTACCCCACTCTGCCGCACACGGAAAAAGCTCATGAATACAAGGCAACAACATTAGAAGAGATATCAGAAGTGGTACAGTCACTACCAGCTCCATCTCCAGGTCCTGATAACATAACTAGAGTGATGATAAAAATGATGTTTGATTTGTCTCCCAGCGACCTCGTTAACATTATAAACTTTTCTATAGAAAATGCATGAGCGCATCCGGAGTGGAAAGTTGCTAAGGTAACACCACTACTTAAAAAACAGGGAGATGGTCATACTATAGACAACATCAGGTGCATTTTCCTGAGCTGTAATCTTGTAAAGTTAATAGAACGGGCTTTATAACGACATCTTGCAGAATGGATACAGCAAAATAATATATTGAGTGAATGTCAAATTGGATTTAGGCCTGGCTGCTGTATATGGTGTGCGCATGTTGATTTGGAAGCTAAAATTAAACTTGTTTGGCACAGAAAGCAATATGCCAATCTGGTGACTTTGGATATTGCTACGGTGTAAGACAGTGTGAAACACACCATCTTGATTATTAAACTCCGAAGTTTTAACGATCCCGGATATATATTTACATGGATTCAAAGCTTTTAAATGGACGGACATTGTTCGCAGAAGGGGCTATCTTCACAGCACAAACCGACGAGGGGAGTTCCTCAGGGATTCGTTCTTTCACCTATTCTATTAGTATATTATTAAGCTGTCTCCCTACTCACGATAAAGTGCAAGTGTATGCATACACAGACGATGTGACATTCTTTTCAGCTTCCACTGACATACACTCGTTGTACAACATTTTGCAATAAATATTTAAATGCCATTGAGGTATGGCTTAGTGACCTGTGCATGTCCCTTAATGTTAAGAAAAGTGCTCTTCTTGCATTTCCATAGAGTTATGTGAGAATAGCATTGATGTACGGACAGGAATTCATGCCACATGTAGACTCATTAAAGTATTTGGGTATAATATACATTGCAACTCCTAATTGAAGTTCACATATTGAGTATGTTGCATCAAAGGGATTACGTGCTATTGTGTTGGTCAAGCGCATCAGCAACGATAGGATTGGAATGTGTAGAAGAGCTTTGGTGATGACATATTGCATATATGTCCACCCAATATTAGAGTTGGATGTGTGTTGTTCAGTGGGCGACCAACTTATAAATTATGTCCTCTTCTTTCTATAGAGTGTGAGGCATTGCGCTTATGTTTAGGCCTCCCTAAGTTTGTCTCCAGTAATGCTTTTTAGCATGAAGCATATCGGCCGTCTCTGCAAACCAGGTCTCACATATTGATTGTTCAAACATTTCTGAACATCTATGCCTCCCCAAAGAGATGCTCCAAATATGTATTTATAAGCAAGCCCTCATATTTTTTGATTGTGAGCGGTCTCGACTACGTCAACTTCATATTGTTTATGTGTAAGAACTCTTGGAGCCATTAGGGGTAAAAGTCCATGATGTGAGTTTCTCACAGCTACAGAATCCTACGTTAAGAATAGAGTTTGACGATATATTTCGTAGAAATGCAAAATTTTTGCCAATAAAAATTTAAATGGGTTGCTCGGATACCATCTGAATAGCCTACAGAGAAGTTCAGTTATAGCCACAGATGCTTGTGTTAATGCCGAAAAAGCAGGAGTGGGCGTCTACTCAACAACATTACATCGTTCTTATTCATCGCGACTGTCCGATTTTACGCTGATATTTCAGGCAGAACTATTGGCAAAGATTCTGGCCATACGCAAGCCCCCAGCATATATCTCTCCGGTTGTGATACTGACCGATTCTTTGTTCATTTGCGCCGCTTTGACAGCACCAAAGTCATTGCCTTGTTTGTTGGAATTTCATACGTGTATGGCCAATCACTTTCCTGTTATCTGATTTGTTTGGGTGCCAGGTCACACTGGACTAATGCTAAATGAAGCGACGGACACACTGGCAGCAGAATTCTAAGATCCTGCTGCTTATGTACAATTGTGCGATTTCGAAATTACTGTATGTGGCAGGAACACACAAAATCTTCTGTTTTAAATGGGGCAGATTTTCAGCACCTTAAATTTTTATGGTACAGCTCATGGTATGCAATAAGACAAACAGAAACTATAGAGCACCTTTTCACACCAGCTTTCCAAAAACACGGGCTTGAGCTGTCTGAAACGGTACTACTCTCCCTAAGAGCTTCGGCACTAGGTCATTGCAACAGGGACATATAAGGAGCTATATATAACTATATAGGAGAATCAAAACGATTACCATGATAATCTAACAAGTAAATCCTTATTACTTATTTTTGTCATTAGTCTATTTTGTATATTCCTTACTGTATCTTCATGATTTTTATTATTCCTATTTTTATTTGTTTTTAAACAATTCATAATTGTCTGTTAGCACAAATAGGCTTTTCATTCATCTAAAAAATTATTTAGGCATCCCAGTCCTCTTTCTTTTTCTTCCGAAATCCCACTGCCGCGTGATTCATGGCCGATACCCTGTGCTGAGTTGAGCCATTCCTTTTGGGTCCAACCAACCAACCGAGCTCGATATGCTACATTTGGCCATGCTATGTGTAGTTTCACCAGCGCTAAAATAATCAATGCGCTCGAAGAAGACGCGTTCAAATAATCAAGGAACTTGAAGAACAGGAGCATGACCTCTGTTTGGCACGAGTGATTGCCCGATATGTTACATTTGGCTATGCTATATGTGGCTCCGTCAGCGTTTCACCGAGTGACGATGACAACATAAGAGAACCTGCCTCTCTAAAGTGCTCTGTACTTAATTGTGATGAAAGCAGGGAAGACAGGGATTCGCTAACAAAGAAGCAGAGGACTACGATGTACAATCGCCGCCCATGCCTCTAGCTAGTGCTTGCAGTAGGAGAACATTTCAAAGAACAGGGAGTACGTCATGACATACCGCGAACTTTTTGCAATAGATGCCGATAGACTTGTAGTCGGTGATCTTCTTTGGCAACCTCAGGTGGACCTCTGCATTCTGGTAGCCCTTGAGAACGTTCATACTGTAAGGTGACAAACAAGGTCGAACAATGTGGTCATCTTCATAGAGCACTTCCTATACACATATGCACAAGTAATATCAAGCTACACACACGAAAAAAAAAGGTTGGAGTGTACATGCAGGGCCTACAACTTTTATTTGTTTATATATTCATTTATTTTCTTCTTGCTTTCTTTCTATTCATCTATCACATTTCTAAATTCTGTCTGCTAATTTGGGCCTTCCTACAGGCACAGGATTTGAGCCTTCAACCACGTGCTAAGCAGCCAAGCACTTCTTTTGCTACAGGAACTACAACATTCAGTCCTGAAAGAATAAAAAGCTACAACGAAAAGCAGCGACAAAGTGTAGCCATGTCAAATGGTGAGTCACATGGATAAAAGACCAAGCTGCCATATCAGAAATGGCAGATGGCCGACTCATCCGCTTGTGAGAAATCATCTGTTATTGGAAAACATCGCATGGCTAAAATAATAGATGTGGCCGGCGGCACTGCTGCATGGAGCACATTTTTGTACACCCGTGTTTTAGCCAACTCCCCGGCGCAGGGTTTTTCACGTACGATGCCACCGCCACTGAAAGCTTTAACTTATGAAACTTTCGCCTAAAATGCCGCCATTATTGTAAAAGTACCAGTAATTTGTATTTAACAGCCCTGTCAGCCGAAGCTTCTCCACCCTATTAAGATAAGAAAGTGTTGAAGAAACGTTACATTAATACACCATATTTTTGCCGAAGGCATTCCTGTTCATATGCACTGCACGAATGGTGAAATTTGCAGCATTTACGCCACTGTCAGCCACTTTGAAAAGAAAACTGTAGAGGGAAATATTTGTTTGCCGACAAGTTTCATAGTGACACGAGGTACGTGGCAGACAGGATAGAGAGCACTCCTGTCTCTATCCTGGCCCCTTTCTTCCCTCTGGCTGCTGCTTTCGCAGTAAGTCTAGATTTGAGTAAGTGTGAAGTATTTATATTGTAGCGAAGCCTCCGAACTATGAAATGGGTCGAACTCTTGAGTACCTTCTAGTGGGGCTACCCAACAAGGACGCCGCTCGCACTGGGAGCCCGTGCTTGGCCGTTACTGTCGCCATTGTGCTTGCTCGCTGTGGACCGGCTATTAAACGCCTTAACATTTTGGTGGAGAGTGCTGTGCCCTTCAAACATCTTCGGTTCACATTCGATGCCCTTGGAGCTTAGATCCCGTACCGTGCCTTCAACCATGCAACAAGACGCCGCCCAGCAAACGCTTCCTCCTGCGCCGACGCCATGTTCCGGTGTCCCCCGCATCCGCGACCCACCTGTCTTCACCGGCGCGGATGGCACCGACGTCGAGGACTGGCTCGTCATGTACGAACGCGTCAGCGTCCCCAATCATTGGGACGAGGCAGGTAAACTCGGCAACCTGGTTTTCTACCTCGCGGGTGTGGCCGGCATGTGGTATAACAACCACGCGTCTGATTTCGCAACCTGGCCCGATTTTAAGACCGCTATCACCAACGTTTTTGGCCGCCCTGCCGTTCGTAAGCTGCAAGCCGAGCAGCGCTTACGCGAACGCGCTCAGCAGGCTGGTGAATCATTCACCAGCTACATTGAAGACGTCTTGGACCTATGCAAGAAATGCAACGACAGCATGTCCGAATCAGACAAGATCCGGAACGTCATGAAGGGCATTGCCGATGATGCCTTCACGATGCTGCTGGCCAAAAACCCAGGCACAGTAGCTGAGGTCATCACGCTGTGCCAGAGCTACGAGGAGCTCCGCCGGCAGCGTTCGATGACCCGTCGCTCCACACCACGAGATGCAGGGCTTGCAGGCTTGGAGGCGAGCTGTGACCAGGTGGCACTGCTGGCAGACCTCAAGTCCTTCATACGTGAGGAAATCGCACGGCAGTTCTCTCTCCTGCCCTTCGCCCACCCACCGGCTGCTCAACAATCGGCCACTACCATTTTCCCCCCCATCCGCCGAGCGATTGAGCAGGAAATAGCGGAGGTTATGCCTGCGTACCACCCACAACAGCTTCCGGCTCCTGTACCCCCAAGTTACGCCCAAGTGGTCGCCAGGCCGCCTCCAGTCGTTCAAGCGCCCGCCCCACTGACTTACGCCGAAGCTGCCGCACGACCTCCATCCTTTGCAGCGGGTATGCCGGCTACGTATGTTGACGTGACCTCTCAGACTCAGCTCCAGCACCCCCTGCAGCCTTTCCAGCCACCGTTCCGTCCATCGGCTCCTGCGTCATGGACAAGACCTACCCCGGCGAACCGATGGCGCACATCCGACAACCGGCCCATTTGCTTTGCCTGCGGTTACGCCGGCCACGTAGCACGTTATTGCACTCGCGTACAGACGCCCCATATTTCGTCGCCTGTTGCTGGCCAGATTAGGCGTACCTATCACGAGGAAACGCCGTCTATGTCACCGCCAACTCGCCTAGCTTCATCTTCTCGTAGGTCACCGTCTCCACGACGTCGTTCCCCGTCCCCCATGCGACCAAGTTCAGCTGCTCACGAGCGGGAAAACTAGTCGTCGCAGTCCCCGAGGCAAGGACTGCGATGCTATCGCATTGTGAAAGCCCTCAGAGCCGCCCATCTAATGTCATTGACGTGCTTGTGGACGGTGTTCACGCATCTGCTCTTATTGACACAGGAGCTGCAGTATCCGTTATGGACGAAAAATTTTGCCGCTTGCTTCGTAAAGTGACGACGCCAATTTCTGGATTGTCCCTTCGTACCGCCGGTTTGCATCGTATCCATCCTACAGCAGGGTGCACAGCTCGCGTTGTCGTTCAGGACGTTCTGTATGTCGCCCAATTCATCATCATTCCCGCATGCTCTCATGACGTCATCCTGGGGTGGGATTTTCTCTCCCGCAACGACGCCGTCATCCATTGTGCCGCCGCCGAAATTGAACTCTCCCCCTTCTCGCATTTGACGCCGGAAGACAGTTCTTCGAAAGTGAGCAAGATTCTCGTGAAAGACGATACCATAGTGCCTCCAAGCTCCACGATGGGTGTATCTGTCTACTGCGCTGGACTCTCCGACACAATTGCACTCGTTTCGCCATCCGACCGTGCTTGCCGAAGGAAAGGGTTGCTAGTACCTTTCGCGACCGTGCAAATCACCCAGGGCAACGCCTCTATTTTCGTGACCAACCCATCCCCGTACACTGTTACCTTGGTTCGAGGGGAATGTCTCGGCAGAGTGGAACCAGTGGATAACGCACAAGTCCTGGACGTACCTGATGACTCGCGTTGTCCCAATTTGCGTACCATCAGTGCTGTTTCCACTTCTGATTCGTCATCTCCTGATGTATTTGGCCCTTGCATTGATGACAACCTCACGTCGGTACAGCGTTCCCAGCTTCTGAACCTGTTGCGAGAATATCGTTCTTCTTTCGATGTCGGGCGAAGTTCTCTCGGTCGTGCGTCCGCTGTTACGCATCGTATCGACACTGGTGCCCATCCACCATTACGGCAACGTCCCTACCGCGTGTCGCCTGCTGAACGTCGGGAAATTAACGAGCAGGTTGATGATATGCTCAGACGCGACGTTATTCGGCCCTCGGACAGTCCATGGGCGTCTCCAGTTGTTCTTGTTGCGAAGAAAGATGGTTCTGCGCGGTTCTGTGTAGACTACAGACGGCTCAATAAAATCACTCGCAAGGATGTTTACCCACTGCCGCGCATCGATGACGCAATTGACAGCCTTCACGGAGCCGAATTTTTTTCTTCTCTCGATCTGCGCTCGGGGTACTGGCAAGTACCCATGGCTGAAGACGCTCGACCGAAGACTGCGTTCATCACACCCGACGGCTTGTACGAATTCAACGTCATGCCGTTTGGTCTATGTAATGCACCTGCGACCTTTGAGCGCATGATGGACACCGTTCTGCGCAACTTGAAATGGCACACGTGCTTGTGTTACCTCGATGACGTTGTGGTGTTCGCTCCAGATTTCTCTACGCACCTCCAACGTCTGAAAGAAGTTTTTGCACGTGTCAGCAATGCCGGCTTGCAACTAAATCTGAAGAAGTGCCGCTTTGCAGCACGGCAACTCACCATCCTTGGGTACGTCGTGTCCAAGGATGGCATTCTTCCTGACCCAGCCAAGCTTCGGGCCGTGGCCGAATTCCCCAAACCTGCGTCCGTCAAAGAACTGCGTAGTTTTGTGGGCCTGTGCTCGTACTTCCGACGCTTCATACGAAACTTTGCCACGATCATATCACCGCTGACGAAGCTCCTTGGAAGTAACGGGTCCCTCAATTCGTGATCGTCTGAGTGCGACGACGCGTTCGCGAAGCTCCGCCATGTGTTGACATCTCCTCCCATTCTACGCCACTACGACCCTACGGCCCCGACGGAGGTGCACACAGACGCCAGCGGTGTAGGCCTCGGCGCTGTCCTGGCGCAGCGCAAACCCGGATTCCCTGAATATGTCGTAGCATATGCCAGCCGCACGCTCACGAGAGCTGAGACAAACTACACCGTCACGGAGAAAGAGTGCCTGGCGATCGTCTGGGCTCTTACGAAGTTTCGACCGTATTTGTATGGTCGCCCATTCGATGTCGTCACCGACCATCATGCACTATGCTGGCTTTCATCATTGAAGGATCCCTCAGGCCGTCTCGCCCGTTGGGCTCTTCGTTTACAAGACTACGACATCCGCGTGCTGTACCGCAATGGACGCCAGCATGCTGATGCCGACGCCCTCTCGCGTTCCCCTCTGCCTGAAGGTGATGTGCTCTGCTCAGTATCCTCGGCTGCTGTTTCTGCCATTGACGTTGACATAATCGCTACCGAACAGTGAAAGGATAATTGGATCGGCTCGCTGATCGACTTGCTCTCTGATCCATCCGCAACGCCATCCACACGTGCATTACGTCGTCAAGCTCGCCATTTCGCCATTCGTGACGGCCTTCTACACCGACGCAATTACGACGCCGACGGCCGGCAGTGGTTACTCGTGATACCCCGCAGTCTGCGGTCAGAGATATGTGAATCCTTCCATTCTGATCCGCAATGCGCGCACTCTGGGGTATTCAAAACCTACCATCGCATTCGACAACGCTACTTCTGGCGCGGGATGTACCGCTATGTGCAGCAGTTCGTTCGCTCTTGCCTCACTTGCCAACGCCGTAAACCGTCAGCTCACATGTCGCACGCCAGTCTACAACCGTTACCTTGCCCTGACCGTCCCTTTGGGCGCGTAGGTATCGATTTGTATGGACCACTTCCTCTGACGTCGGCTGGTAACCGCTGGGCCATCGTTGCCGTTGACCATTTAACGCGATACGCCGAAACCGCCGCTCTCCCTGCGGCTGCTGCGCGCGATGTTGCGTCCTTCCTGCTGCATCGATTTATACTGCGCCACGGACCACCCCAAGAGCTTCTCAGCGATCGAGGCCGTGTCTTCTTGTCGGAAGTCGTCGAAGCCATTCTGACGGAGTGCCATTCTGTCCACCGCAAAACTACTGCTTACCACCCACAGACGAATGGCCTCACCGAACGGTTTAACCGCACCCTCGGCGACATGCTTTCTATGTACGTCGCTGCCAACCACACTAATTGGGATAATATACTGCCCTTCGTCACCTACGCCTACAACACCGCCCCTCAGAGCACGACTGGTTTTTCACCTTTCTACTTGCTGTACGGAAGGCACCCGTCGCACACCATGGACACTATACTCCCGTACACGCCGGATCCATCTGAGTGTACACCTATTTCCGAGACAGCCAGGCTTGCTGAAGAGTGTCGCGAGCTTGCCAAGACTTTTACGACGCACGAGCAAGAGCGGCAGAAGAGTATCCGTGATGCCAGCACCACTTCTGAGCCCACGTTCCTTCCTGGTGCGCTTGTATGGCTCTCGATTCCGACCTCTGCCGCTGGCCTCTCTTCCAAACTACGTCCCAAATACGAAGGCCCCTACCGTGTCATCGAGCGCACCTCACCCGTCAACTATCTGATCGAACCCGTTGAACAATCTTCGGACATGCGCCGCCGTGGGCGAGACATCGTCAACGTGGAGCGCCTGAAGGCTTATTATGACCCGCTCATAGTAACAAGCTGTTAGGTCGCCAGGCGGCTCCCTCTTCGACCCCGGGGTAATTGTAGCGAAGCCTCCGAACTATGAAATGGGTCGAACTCTTGAGTACCTTCTAGTGGGGCTACCCAACAAGGACGCCGCTCGCACTGGGAGCCCGTGCTTGGCCGTTACTGTCGCCATTGTGCTTGCTCGCTGTGGACCGGCTATTAAACGCCTTAACAATATCAATATTTCATGCATACAAAGATATGCGATGCGGAATAATTCATTGTGTACACAAGGAAGAGTGTTTGAGACAATAATACGAGAAACAACTGTCAGGTTTAGCAGAGCGATTGTCCACAATGGACGAGATGTCAGAATATAATACATTTCTTCGTGGCGTTGGCCAAAAGAAAAGAATTCTGTCTCCGCCAAGTTTCGGGCATTTGCTCGGTTTGTTCAATGGTGTTCGCATGCACAGGCGCTAAATTGAACTCACCTGCCATTTTCGTCGGGCAGCTGTTCGCCGTTGTTGTCTAAATCCGAGTTGAATCCACCCCAGAAGTACGCCGCTGCGCAGGTGAATTCGGGGACAGTTGTTAACGTCGTTAATCAAGTAAACGCAATCAGGTTCTTACAGCTTGCTAAGTGAGCTATGAATGATTGATTGGTGATCAGTATTTATGGACAACGCCTGAAATCAAGATGGCGGAGTGCAATGATGACGATGATGAAGACTTCATTTGTGGAATACCATGAGCGTGAGCTCAAACAGAAACAAGAAATACTGTATCTGGAAGAAAGTAGCATGCTGTTATACGTATAATGTTTGGTAGAATAAATTAGAGTATGCATGAATAAAACGTTTTCATATCTGGTTCTTATTACATAGATGTTCTACGCTTCATTTGTGAGTAGCTCTACCACGGTGGTCTACTGGTTATGAATTTCTCGCATTTAAATATGGGTTCATTAATCTTAAGAAAGAAGTGTATGCCGAAGTTTATTTATTTCATATATCCTTTCAGTTCCATATTTTTCACGGTGAACCAAACAAGAATAGTTGTAACCTATTTATTAATTCAGTGAAATTTAAAAAAATTAACTTCAACAAATTGAGAGAAAGAATAGAATGAGGGAAAGACAGATAAATTCAACCGATTTGTAGCCTCCGCTTACAAATCGGTTGAATCTGCCTGCTACTCCACGTTAACGGGAGGGGAGTAGCATACACACTGTTCAACATAGTACCGTTAAGGTTTTGGATTCTAGTGTATGGCTCACAAAAAATGGCAAAAGTGGCAATAAACACGACGGGACCTTTATAGAACTGACCTTAGATCATGAAAATTCGGAATCGACTCGCATCTGATGCATGTATCACTTCCGAAATAAGGTGTCGCCTTAGGCTTCCCACCATCCGCTCCTGTGCCTAGAAGGTTATACATTAAGACATACATCGTGGGCGCTAACGCCAATGTGTTGTCAGCTTAGAAGATATTCGTATAGAGATAAAGCATGCCAGGAATAACCAGCTCACGCTATTGTCGCATATACGAGAGAACATCATTGCTGAACTAAGTGTAGCTTAACTAAGTGTGAGGTTGTTATACCAGGAAAAAAACCGAGATTAACAAACACTACTTCACACTATATTCATGATTCAGGTTATGTTTCACAAAGGTATCCAAAGGAACAAAGTGAAAAGTTTGGCCGTTTTGATCAGATAACCATTGTGTCTAACAGTATCCGAATTTTTTAGTAGTAGTACGCACAACAGCCAACATTGGCCGCCACATATCGTTATTAGGTCAGGATGAACCAGCAGTATAGATTTGCCACCACATGACCAATACCAGCTATTACCAGCCAGTGCTAACCCATGCTCATTGTGTGCGAGTAAGCACGGTAATCGAGTGCACTGTTTCATGTTTACGGTGGTATGAACCAAGATAACGTCTTGCATACAAAATTTAGACAAATTTCCAGCCAGGCAGGTTCACTACGATTGCCTTAAATAATGCATACCAGTCTTATCTCTGCTTAACCAACAAATACATACGCATATTTTCCGGCAATTGCTGTTTAAGCTGAGGCATATCGGTGGATCGTTCTTTTGTAAGTAAGCCAAGAGTGCCAGAGGGCAGCAAGCAAACAATGGAACTTGTGGTAACACTGGGATTGTTACTTGAGGACTGTTGGAGAGCCCTTACACGTGCGGTTTCGCGCAATGTAAAATAGCTCAGCCACGTAGGACAAAGATGTACTTTCTGTTCGTTTTTTTTCTTTTATTGACTATCAACGTTTTTTGTGGCCCTCATTGTCTTTAAACGTGTCACAGTGAATGCATGAACGATAGTGGTGCACGCTGAGAGAAACAACATTTGAAAAGTAACGGCGCCTTAGCAGAGGTGAACGCGGAAATAAATTCGGTGGAGGCACGTCCTCTATCCTAAGCGGGAGCTGGACAAGTGTGGTTGAGTGTTTTAGCTAGGGTGCAGACCCTAGCTAAGACAACCCTGTGCTGCTTAGCTATTCTACGTGCAACCTCCTGTGGAGCTAGACACTGCGACTCTCTAGGACGGTCCCCAAATGACTTTTCTAGCCTAGTTTGGAGAGCCGCACCTCTTACGACGTGCAATTCAGGAGTCTGTCCCTAATTATCGCCGCTGTTTGTACTGGTACGTTACGTTTCCGAGTGCCGGGGTGGAGTCACACCACAGACATCTGCCGTCATGTGTTTCGGAAAATATCTTGCGAAGTCCATCTTATAGCGTGGCTCAGCGTTTGTTTGTATCCGGTGTCAGTACATAGTCTATCGTGGTTTCAGATTGGGATGATTTGGAGCTTTGGTTCGCATTGCCGGTCAGTTTTTGTGCTTCGAGTCACTGCAAGAAAGTTTCAGAATGCGTCAGATGCACACTTAGGGACGCACGTTGGGTGTTTTGTGCCAGGATGTCAGCGATTTTATCGGCCTTAGCGTCGCTCGTCCGAGTCTCCGTTTGCGCCAGTATGTGAGTCACACTTCAGGAAATCTGTGGTGCAATACAAACCGGGACGTATAATACGCCCAAACGCCTGCCCTGTTCTTTGACCGCGCCTCTGACGGGCGTTGCACTTCAAAAGTGTGGTTTTGGACATGTGAATATGAATTCGTACGGGTTAGCACTGCCAATGTAATACACATTATCTTCCTGTAGAATATATCTCTCGTAGCATTTTTCAATATAATCGTATTGATGTACTAACAAAACGAGTAAAAGGACTTGATGTATTTGTTTCGTCATTAAACAGAGCTGTAGATTTTAACAGGGTGGCTAAAGAAAGTATGTTATTAATAATTTTGAATTGCGGTGTAGCCATCGGTGGCACTAGCCTTGAACTCACAACATTCGAGTGTTATCTAGCTAATGACTTGTGTTCCTGTGACACTTGCTATAATGTTTCGCTTATGATAGGGCACAGACTCATTGCGGTTAAATAACCCCAGCATATAAAGCATTTAACCATAAAATTACCTTCTAACCTTGCATGTTATTTGATTATTTTAAATTACTTATTAGAACAATTCTGCTACGGTAGGTTCTGCCTCATTTAAAAATTCGCATTCAGCAACAATGTCCGCGTCTATTATTGCGTAGTACAGTGTTTTATAAGCAGTACCTGCGAATTATGTAAAGTGATTGTACAGTTATTTGAATGTCGTTCTATTTTGCTCCGCATCTTATCACTGGTGCTTTTGTTTGCCTATTGCGCTTTGTCAACAGGGCCTCATCAAGCGTGAGGCCACGAAACGGCGTAGTGCTCTGCTATAATAGAGCACGAAGTCTCTAAATCATTCACCACTTTTTTTCTAAACACACAATTTCACTCCTTTTTTCCCTGCCATTCTTATAAATACACGTTAGGCTGCTTCACGACTTCTTTCTGGTTGCACTTTGGGCTCATTGTGCAATATTTCATGTCCAGATCTTTCCTTGTAAATACACTGTCTGTGTAGACCATTTTGAAGGGAATCAATAGCTGTATATCCGACGCGTCCCTATGCTATAAAGAATGTTTTAGGGCTGAAGCTTCTATAAAGGCGTGTGTCTGTCCATCCTTTGTATGTATGTACGTGGCCGCCTATAATTCCACCTTTGCAAACTGCCCACTAGTTCGTCCTTGCAAACAAACCATTACGCCCCATCACCGATACACCAATTCACCGACCATAAAGCGAATACTGTTGAGAAGTAGCCAACATTAAACTCAAGACGGTTATGTATTTGTACCTAGGCGCGTGTTAAAGAACCATAGGTTGTCCCACTATGTCCATCCTTTGTTTGTACGTGACCGCTTATATATAGTTCCACTTTTGCGAACTGCCCACTAGTTCGTCTTTGCAAACATTCCACTACACCCCATTACCGATCTACCACTTCACCGACCATAAACCCGCTATAGAGAAGGGGGAACGGAGGAGACGTATAGCTACCGCTTACGAATAATAAAATTCCTTGTATAAATATATACGGTCTTTGTAACATCTTTGATGATGTGGTGGGCAATGTTCATGGATGGTTGGTATGCCGTATGTTACTCTAGGGTACAGCGATGAAACAAACCCTCCAGCGCTTCGCCCCACTCATCATTATTCACTCCATGAGTGTGCTGTGATTTTTTTTATTCTCGCGCGAAATTTCACATTGTGTTGCGAAACAACGAAATAGCTTGAAAATTTATCTGCAAGCTACGCTGTACGTTACTTCATGTAAACACAAAGTCATTTGCCATTCCACAAGATGTTTTCCCATTTTAAACAGAATATGAGCGCTCGGCTACTACTGATTCGCTTGGCATCATTAAATAACTTTTCTTAGACCTTCGACAGATTGCGGAATCCACTACAAATGTTTCTCTGTTCTATTTTGAAAATATTTACGTGCACATGCGAAAAAATATACCTAGAAGAGTTTAAAGAGGCAACGCCTCCCAGAAAAAACTATGCCTGGAACGTCGCTCTCTTTTCAATTGCGTTGGTGACGCTCGCTTTGTACCGAAGGAGGAGGCTAAAATCCGAGGGTAGGGTAGCGCGTTCGCGGCCACGTTCCAGGTAAAACTTTTTTGGAGGCATTGAAAGAGGGCACGCATTTTCAGAGTATATATTGCTAATCGCCTTATTTACTATATCAGTCTTTTCACATACTTTGCATTATTATGTTGTCCAATGAATGAGTTACTTACAGGTAACTATAATGAAAATACCGCATGTTGTTTTTCTTATTGTAGCACTGATGACCAAGGGTGCTACATATTTATAAATGCAATACGATGTTACGCTCTCAGTTTAAATACCTCCAGACCTTCTCCTACCTTTATCTATATTGCCACATGGTATTACACTAATAAAAGATACACTTTCGGTTTTTTCATTAGCTCTTTGCGGGATTTCACCTGCAAAGTGAAGAGTCATGCTCTGCATCCTTTCACTCTGTAACAAATGTGAGGTAGTAAGAAAGTAACAACCTCTGTGAACCTTGATATCCATTACTCCCACTCGACTCACTATCAAGCAGTGTACACCAACTGTATTATGTTATACTATACGCTGCAATGTGCACTATACTATACATGGAAGTGCAAGCAAACTCAGACATACCGGGACCATTGCCGTCGTAGTTGAGGTTCCTGATGACGATGCTGTTTTCACTGGCTGCGTACACGTCACCACTAAAGCCGTGCGCTTTCATTATTACCGGTCCGAGAGCCTTGCCATAGTAGGCCGCAGAGATGCCTGTCAGAAAATTGCGTATACAGTCAATCAACCGCCTAAGGTCTATAAATAACAAAATTATTATCTGCCAGAAGAATCAAAATATGCCTTCATCTGGCATGCACACTTATATACTAGTGTCACATGAGAAACTCCTAAAAGCGATTGAGCCCTATCCTCAACAAATCACTCAACATTGATTGGCTCGCATCTAGAGATTGCGTAAAGGAGCCAATCACGGTCAAGAAATTCTACCCGGCTCAGGCCCCATCACGATTAAAAGTTACGGTTTCACACCATTGCTACACTCACTCCCACAAACACAGACACGTGCACCCGCACACACAAGCGAACACGCACGCACGCCCACACAGCGACAATGAAAGACAGGGAAAAAAGTGTGGAAAGAAAAAGGTGAAACAGAGGTCGGCCCGAGAATCTTCATATAGGGCTTGTTTTTGTCTTGTTTCTATATCACATGTCCCAAAAATACCAAGATCTTATACCCCGTGACTCCCTAGTGGAACTCAGTCGGCAGTTTTAGAGATGTGTCAGGTACTCGACAAATCTGGCCGCCAGCCAGTCCATGACAATTGCGAATTTTTTCTGAGCATACCAGGCACGTATTAAGGATCACTGATTCATAATCACCTTCAATCTCATGACGAAAAGTAGCTTTCAAACTGCTTTCAGGTGATGTGTCAAGGTGATGCGCACGCAAATCCTTGCAGGCCAATCCCAAGCTAACACCTCCATCTTAGCCACAGCATGCTGTGCACAGACCATAATGACGCGTTTCCGTACATTAGAGTTAGTTTCTTATACATAGATACATGAAATATACATAAAGAGATTTATAAGATAGCCAGACTTTACACTAAAGAGGGCAGCAACGCAATGCACAGTAGCCATTGCACGCGGAAGGGCCACGTCACCAGAAATATAACGTATGACGTCATTAGTAGAAGTTCACGTCACTGTCGATTCTAATTTTGGTAGTAGTAATGATGGTAATAAAACGCATGACTCTGTCATCACAACCACAAATTACCAGTGCAGCTGTGGAAGTACAGTCATCATTGTCATCTTCATCATCAGCCTGACTACGTCCACTGCAGGACAAAGGCCTCTCCCATGTTCCGCCAATCAACTCTGTCCTGTGCTTGCTGCTGCCAATTCACACCCTGCAAACCTTTTAATCTTATCTGCCCAGCAAACCTTCCGTCACCCCCTAACGTGCTTGTCTTCTCTGGGAATGCAGTTAGTTACCCTTAATGACCAGTGTTTATCCTGTCTGCGTGCTACATGCCCGGTCCATGTTCATTTCCTCTTTATTTCAGCTATGATATCCTTAACCCCGTTTGTCCCCTAATCCACTCCGCTCTCTTCTTGCCTCTCAACGTTACACCTACCATTTTTCTTTCCAGTTGCTCGCTGCGTCGTCCTCAATTTGAGCTGAACCCTCTTTGTGAGTCTCCAGGTTTCTGCTCCGTAGCTAAGTACCGGCAAGATACAGCTGTTATATACCTTTCTCTTGAGGGATAGTGGCAATCTACCTGTCATAATTTGAGAGTGCTTGCCAAATGTGCTCCAGCCCATTCTTATTCTTTTAGTTACTTCAATTTCGTGGTTCGGCTCTGCGGTGATTATCTGCCCTAAGTAGACATAGTATTTTACAACTTCAAGTGCACTATTGCCTATCTCGGAGCGCTGCTCCTTTCCGAGGTTGTTGTACATTACATTCGTTTTCTGCAGATTAATTTTAAGACCCACTTTTCTGCTCTCCCTGTCTAACTCCTGTAATCATGAGTTGCAATTCGTCCCCTGAGTTATTCAGCAATGCAATGTCATCGGCGAAGCGCAGGTTACTGAGCTATTCTCCATTAACTCTTATCCCTAACTGTTCCCCATCTAGGCTTCTGAAAACCTCCTGTAAGCACGCGGTAAATAGCATTGGGGAGATTGTGTCCCCCTGCCTTACACCCATTTTGATTGGTATTTTGTTGCTTTCTTTATGAAACATTACGGTAGCAGTTGATTCCTTGTAGATGTCTTCCAGGATGTTTATATATGCTTCGTCGACGCCCTAATTCCGCAGTGTCTGCATGAATGCTGATATTTCTACTGAATCAAACGCCTTCTCCTAATTTTTGAAGGATACGTATGGTGGTTGGCATTATTCTGAGCATTTCTCTATTACCGGATTAATAGTATGAATGTGGTGTATTGTTGAGTAGCCTGTTCAAAATCCTGTTTGTTCCTTTGGATGATTAAATTTGATTGTTGTCTTAGTTCTGTTAGCAATCGCCTTTGTAAATAACTTGTATACTATGGAGAGCAAGCTTATCGGCCTGTAATTTTTCAAGTCCGTGTCATCTCTTTTCTTATGTACTAACATGATGCTAGCATTCTTCCAAGATTCTGGAACTCCTCCCGTCAGGAAACACCTCGTAAACAGGGTCGCTAGTTTTTCTGACACAATCTGTCCTCCATCTTTAGCAGATCTGATAGTACCTGATCTTCACCAGCAGCTTTGCCTTTTTGCACACTCTCCAAGGCTTTTCTGACTACTATCATTACTGGCGGGGTGTCATTTGGATTACTGCTAGTTCTGATATTAAGGTATTAAGGTCATGGTTGTGCCTGCTACTGTACACATCTCTGTAAAACTGCTCCACTAATTTAACTATCCTATTCATATTGGTAGTTACTTTGCCTTCTTTGTGCCTTAGTTCATATATCTGGTTTTTGCCTATCCGAAGTTTTCTCTTCACTGCTTTGACGCTTCCTTTGTTCTTCAGAGCGTGTCCGATTCTCTACATGTTATACCTTGTTACATCGGATACCTTACACTTATTAATCAACTTCGGAAGCTCTACAAACTCTATTTTGTCTGTTGTATTTGAGGTTTTCATGCTTTGATGCTTCTTAAAGAGATTCTTCGAAGTACAGTAAATAGTATCAAACCATCTCTCAGTCAGAGATAGGAAGTCAGGCCTTTGTATGAATTCATCGTGTTTCACGTGTACGTATTGGTTGCCATGTGATCTGGCATTTAGAATGGGGACCTGAAATTCTGCTTCAAACATCTTGTCAAACGCCTCGTGCTACCAACTGGGGTGTTGTTCTATATCCTAGACAACTCGACGGCCAGTCTTGTGAGCATTATCCTTAGCCTGGCAGGAAGTGTATAATCGTCAACTTGATTGGTGATGCAATGCATTTTGATGTTCGGTATTCCCACAGGCTCAGCACTCTGAGTGCATCAACGGTCGGTTCACGACGCACAAAGTATTGGCAAACTGCATCGGGTCATTCAGGTCTCCAATCCCCTGTGCAATTGCAATTTCATTTTCCTATACGGGTTCATCGTTTAGAGACCTTCACTGGCACTGTGTCCGTAACGCCAGCATTCGGTGCACCTTATAGGATGAGGAGCTTCTGCTTGGCTAGACAGCTTCATCACACTTAGTGGACCGGAAGTGAATACTAGGACTTGCCCAATTTATGTGGTACACATCCTCTATAGGCGAAGCTGCGCAATGCGGAGTCGCTAACCTAGCCAGACTTCAATTGCTCAGCTGTAATAGTGAGAACCATAAGTCGCCCGGTGATAGGCAACTGGCACCCAATTGACACGGCCAAACCAGTGACAATGGTGAAATTCCGAGTAGCTCAAGGCAGCTAGAATACCTTCCATTTACTTTAAACGTCAGGTGGCGCTATGAAGCCTCACAAAGTGGTTCTGTTCAGGCCTAATTACTACCCCACGAATGACGGTGACCGCAAAGTCTGCCACTGCACCTTTTTTTTTAGGATACGTAACTCAGCGTCACGTTGTGCCAGGTGGTAAGCGTACAAACCAGTCCGTTCACCGGACGTTCAAGAGATCACGGAATCTAATTGGAGAGTTTAAGCCGTCAGCAAGCAGCTCCTGAAGCGTGACGTTAAACGCCAGACACAAGCTTTTCAGGCACACTTCGCACGCGCGTGGCAGGGAGACCACTGTCCCATGGAACGGAAGCATAACAAGGAAACTAAAGTTTTGTCTGTCGGCTATGGAACTAGAACAGCCAGAAAACCTCTACAAGGGCGCCGGCGGCCTTGGAATAGAGCGCAGTGTCCGCGCGTCGCCCCTGACCTACATATTCAATAGACAGGCGTCTAATAAACACCTTGAAGTAAACGCGAAAAATGCGGGTAGTTTGCAACCTCGAAACTGCGCCTTGATGTAATGGTATTTCCAGTGATATTTCAAGGGGAGAAAATATTGTGTCAGATTTCGCGCCTCATATAACATTCTTTTTGAGTATAGCAATCCTTTGAAAAATTTTACAACTTAGCCGTTTTAGAAATGTTGTAATTCATTTTTATTATTATTTGATTTGAATACATGGGTACGCAAGGACAAAGAGAAAAGTGGGTGAGAGCAAGCTGGCAACTGCCACTTGGAGGGGCACAACGCCTGTTTACTCTTTCGAGAGGAGGGAATAGATAAAGGAAAGAGAGATAGGTGGAGAGAAAGAAGAAAGAAGAGAGGGAAGTAAAGAAAAAATGACGAAGACTTATCCAAACATAAGTGAGAACGAAACAAAAAGTCGTAACCTAATGCTGATGTCTGCTTCTCATCTTGCGAGAATGGACAGTTTCTATATGGAAAGAAATGCACTAAGTTGTCGTTCTGTTGTAGAAAGCGATACACAGGACGGGTCACACGGAAAGTTCGGGACGGCTTCATGCTCTCCCATAGTAGAGTACGAAGTACTCTAAATCGTTAACAACTTCTTCTAAACACGCATATAGTCTAACATTGTGCTGGACTATTACCAACGTACCCGTTCTAACATTACGCTGCACTATTACCAAAGTATCAGAATTTTTTTGTGACTTATGTAAAGAAATTATTACCAAAAATAAAAAGGGCGACAGGGAACGCTTTGCTGACTCCTTATCCACGTAAATAAAATGAAATTAAGTTGTGCACACTTGTTACCTACATTGGGATATTTATGCTGTTTACTTGCATTTCCACTTAAGGTTTCTTTCTTAGAGTTACACTACAATGTAACCAAGGTCTAACTTGCCCAACAAGCAAATCTTTTGAACTCATTCTCCACGGAAGGTCAAAAAATCAAGGCAAGATAAAAAAGTATAGATGAAAAGCTTCATTAAGGCCATTTGACTGGCCGTACATTCAAATGTGGACAGATCCGGTTTGTCGAGAATGAAAAACAACACATCTTTCTCGCAACACCAACTTCTTTTCACTCAACCAGGCGTGCAATACTCAGCTCTGTTCATTGTGTAGTTCTTTTCTCTAAACAACGAGCAAAAGTACAGAGATAAAGAGCAATTGAAGAAAAAATAAAGTAGCCGTACCGTGGGGAGTGATGCAGGCTACCAGAATGAGAGTGAGAAACCCGTAATACATGATGAAACGCACGTTCGAGTCGCTGCTGGTTGATCAACTGCGTGAAAGAGAATAAAACAAAAACAAGAAATTGGACAAGTAGGAAGGTTGACCTATGCACCGCCGGCAAGTCTGTTGCCACAGAGTTTACCCGTCTGCTTGAGAAAAACTGCAAGCTGCAAACTTACGCGGGCTAACTGTTGTTCACGTAGCACAATATTAATGATTGCGCTCAGGGCAGTACGCACCGCCCTGTGAGCTGTAAAGCACACACTGAAAGTCTGCACTCCGTAAGTCTCTAACTTGTCCCGTTGATTGGTCTGTTGCTGCTGTTCTCTAGACATACATACACGGCCAAAGTAGGTGCGAACGTCACAGTTGTGATTCCGGTCTTGGCGGTCGTATTTCGGTGCAGTCGGAATGGAAGCGGTTCATGCACTGTCCGACGTCATTATACGTAATTGATTTGATTGATTGATATATGGGGTTTAACGTCCCAAAACCACCATATGATTGTGAGAGACGCCATAGTGGAGGGCTCCGGAAATTTCGACCACCTGGGGTTCTTTAACGTGCACCCAAATCTGAGTACAAGGGCCTGCAACATTTCCGCCTCCATCGGAAATGCAGCCGCCGCCACCGGGATCCGAACCCGCGACCTGCGGGTCAGCATTCGAGTACCTTAGCCACTAGACCTCCACGGCGGGGCGTTATGGTACGTAAGGGACAGTGGATGGTGGAAATTTCCAGAGCCCCCACCACGGCGTACTTCACAATCATGGCGTGGTTTTGGGACTGAAAACCCCGCAAATTATTAATAATAGTCACCCAAGTGTACTCTGTAGAACACAAGTTTTGAGATTTTTTAAAATTTTATTTGCAGCGGGCGAATAATTGTACGATCAAGGCCATAGACATTTACAGGGTACTCCATTAGGGGCACGGGTAAGCTTCACTACCAAACTCAGCTCGTAGAGCCAAAAACATAATACTCTCTTCGCAATGGACATATGATAAAAAAAATGAAGATACAACGTGCCTCTCACAAAGACCTGCCATTGATCGGCTGGCTTAGCCAAGCAAAGGCGAAAAGTAAACTATTGTTTTAATGTAGCTTTAGGGGTCCTTGTAGTCATTAACCACCCTCCCCTTTCTCATGAAATGATCCAGCACTTGTCTGCACCCCCGAACTGAAAATCTTGCCGACGCCCATGGTGAGGCCCAGATTCAGTGTTGTTAAGTGTAATTAGCTTCTATATTGCGCAGAAGATGAAATACAGGTTGGGATATTTCCTACTCACACAGCTTGTCAGAAGCGTCTGTCCTGAGCAGCTCAGGGAACAAGAATCTGTACACTGGTGAACCTGATGGTCAACGACGAGTTTTCCTTCTCCGCGTTGCCCGTGAAACTGACCGGACAGTTAACTAGATTGGCGGTTTAACACTATCTACTATTTGCGAGAAATCGCCTTTCTGACAAGAACGGGAGGGGGAAGGCAGTTGTGAAGGGTCGCTTCCGAATAGCTGTTTAAAACGATAACTGGTGCCTCTGGTAAACAAGTAATCAGCAGATTCAGGACGAGGGTTTCTATATCACCGTATTTTTGACTTGCCGAGCAGCAGCGCCTGTTGATATCACAGCTCCGGTCAAAGGTCATGCTCCACTGATGTGTTTTTCACACCCTGACCTTTTTCGCTCTGCCCTTCAGTAAACTAACAGCAGGCAGAAAGTTGTGATTACTCACAAAAATTTTGCTATACTAACATGCCGATATCTTTCAAAAAGGTGATCTTGGTTGTAGAATTTGATTAATATTAAAAATCATTGTACGGCTGGGAAATCGCAGATTCAGAGTATCGGCTTACGCCCAATCTAAGCGGGATGTTTCGACTTTTGAGAATGCTCTCCTTGGATCACAGCGTGAAATTGTATGACAGCAAGAACTTTTTCATCAGGATAGTCAATTTATTTGCAACATGACTATATAGAAATCGAAAAACCGATAATACTGGAACAATATACCCAGGTCGAAGCGTGGAACGAGGAAAGACAGAACACAGTAAAAAACACACATACAGGCGCTAAATGGAAACTAAAGTTTAATGGAGAGAAAAACGCGTGAGTGTGTTCTTTACAGTGTCCAGTTTTGCTTCGCGCCGCGATTCGCCATGAATATATACTACCCCGCCCAGTACTCTACGTTACCTTAAAGTAACATGCCACAGTTTTTATTTGCCAAAACCATATCTCAATGAAGCATGCCTTAGTTTACGTTTTATATTTGATTGATTATAATTTTCTGCTTAATTATGCAAAACTAGTTAATTAAGTTTGTCTAATTATTATATCACATGAATTACTATAGCGTGCACCTATATGAAAGTGCCAGGGTGTTCTTGTATTTTGCGCCTATCAAAATGTGGCTCTCATGAGAGAGAATCGAAATCACACCCTCACGTCTAAGCACAGAGACGTCATAGACAGAACGTTGGCGCGCGGTATAACATTAGCATATACAGACGGCTGAGAGTCAAAAGTTGGTCTTCTAAATAATCCGCCACTGTCGTTTACATATAGACCCGAATGTTCCAAGCTATAGCTCCACGTTTAGAGTTTTCTCCCAGCCACATCCGGCCTGATTTAGATTGGGTGGGTCAAAAAAGGCCCATGCAACCCAGTCTAGATTCCCTCTTTGCAGCGATGTTTATAATTAGCTCGTAGTTACGACACATGAACCCTTCCCCCCCCCCCCGCCATTTTTTATGAAAGACATTCGATGATCTATACTGTGCAGTAGCGGAGAATATACGTTGTGCTTTAAATAGCTGTTGCTGAGGTCTCACGTTATGTGCAGTGGTTACGCAAAAGCTAACGCGGAGTCCTGCAGAGTATATACAGCAACGCCTAATAATTAGGCGCCGAGTTCAGAATGATTGCCTTTCATAGCAGCGCTTTGCGATTAGTCAGCCCGCTTGGCAATAGAAATCCGCTTCAGGATTCAGTGAAATCTTTTCACGAACACAGAGGAAAAGTGAGTAACAATTCTTGGGGTGTTGTGAGCCTAAACCACGTTATGGTTATGTATCACGTGGTAGCAGAGGACTGAAACTTTGGACCATTACGTGTTCTTTACCGTGCATCGCACAGTGTGCACGGGCCTCCAGCACTTCGTGTCCATCGTAAGTGAGACCATCGCAACCGGGATCAATGCGGCGTCTTTCGGGTCAGTAGCCGAGCTGCACCCGAGAAAGAGAGCTCAGCTAAGAAAAGAGATAGGTTAACCTAGTGCAAGAAGCCGGTTCACTGCCCCAGTTATGAAAGCGGGAACACCGTTGATTGATATGTGGGGTTTAACGTCCCAAAACCACTATATGATTATGAGAGACGCAGCGGGAACACCGTAAGTTGCCTTTTGTGTGTGCGACCACACATCATGGTTTTTGCATAGTAAACCAGTATAGTTGTCGTCACTCTTTGAAAGATCTAGGCAACTTTTCAGAGAAGGCTAGATAAGCGCTTCCATAATCCTATTCGGGCGCACTTCCGAGACAACGACGTTAGCCTTTTTGACGTAAGCCGTTGACTATTTCATCTCTCCTGTGAAAAGGTCTATAGACTTGTTCAGAGGAGACGCGAAACACTCGATGAAGAGCACTACAAAAACACTATGAAAAGGTCTACAGATCTTGTTATAGGAGAGACAAAACCTTATGGCTGACCTGTAAGGGCGTTTTTTTTTCTCTTTCTTTCTGTGGCAAAGTCAACAGATATTTCCATACAAAAAACAAGACGAACGTCCTTTCTTGCCCATATAGCACGGGAGTACAAGTGTTAACATTAATGACACGGCGGTTCATTTCTGGGGCGCTATGCAAGATTGCCTGACCTTGGCGATACTCACTCGGGATAAGCAGGGGATCTTTCTGAGTTCTGGTGACACCTCATTTCGAATAAGCCAACAGTACGAAAAAGCACAATCCCCCCCCCCCCCCCCCTTCGCGCTGCGTATCATTGGCTACGATGGGAGCCGGCATCGCGTCAAGGACGGTCGACAAAGTTAGGCAGCGTTTCGAAACCAGAGGCATCTTGTTTCATTTGTTGGTCGTTTCGCTGAGCGCAGAAGGATTGATTGATTGATTGATTGATCGATATGTGGGGTTTAACGTCCCAAAACCACCTTATGATTATGAAAGATGCCATTGTGGAGGGCTCCGGAAATTTCGACCATCTGGGGCATAGAGTTTCTCAATATATAGTGGGAACTCTGGCGCTAGTGTCTATGGGAGCTGCAACACGCGGCGCTTCAGCGAGCATGGGAATGATGGGTAGTACACACATTTGTCTAATTTTCGTACTTCTGGCCAGCTTCTGGCTCCGTCTGTATCCATGAGGCTTGAAGGTGTTTTTTCAAGAAAACATAAATTAGCAAATGTTCACCGTTCGCGCTTCACAACCTTATTTTTTTAGGCTTACCATTTCGAATCAAGTCACTAAGCGGAAAAGGGTTTGTTTTTTCTTTCAAAACAAAACTGAAACACAGCAATAAACAAAGCCGCAAGTACGATTCGCCGCCCGCAAGTACAAATACTAGGAAAATGTGTGTACTACCCTTCATTTCCATGGTCGCTGAACGATCGCAGCGCCAGAGTGCCCTCTAGTTAATTTTGGGAAACTCTATGATCTGGGGTTCTTTGACGTGCACCCAATCTGAGCACACGGGCCTATAACATTTCCGCCTCCATCAGAAATGCAGCCGCCGCAGCCAGGATTCGATTCCTCGACCTGCGGGTCAGCAGCCAAGTCACTAGACCGCGGCGGGGCTGAGTGCAGAAGGGGAAGTGCACCGATGCAATAATAGTGTCAGACGCATTTCGTTGTGATATTTCTGAAAAGCCCGGGGTGTTTATTTGAAGCCTTTAATGCCTGAACTAAATCTGTTTTAAAAGAATCGTATCGTGACCTCTGAGATTGGTTCCGTCCGAGCGTAAGACATCACGAGTACAGCTGAACCCAGGGCCACGTGTTGATCATGATGGTCGGCCTGAACATTCTATCACGCCCATAGTGAACTCTAATCGCACTACTCAGCTGGTGCGCGCCTGCTCCGTCGTCTTTATCGTCTGCTAGCGCCCCAGCACCTGCGTCCAATTAATTAGCTATTTACTTGGCAATATATTTGGCTATTGTTAGGCCAGGACATCTCATGATCAAGCTAATTACGCCAAGTCGTGGTAAACCCGAGGTAATTACGCCACATCTTAAGAAGACTATGCTAATGAAGCCACGTGAAGCTAGGACCGGACTAACTGTGTGTTTAGAAAAAAACCTGGCTAACTAAAGCATGCTAGTTGATGAGCTAACTCAATCATGCTAAGCAATACGACGTTAATCATGAGCACGCTAAGTTAAGCCATGCTAACTAGCCCTTACTAATACAATGATGATTAGGATCGTGGTAATCAGTATTACATTTAATAGCTTCATACTGATCATGACTTTTTTATTGCGCCCGAGATAATTACTTTTTAATTGAAACCTAATAATGAAGACAAAACAGCTCATTGTAATGGTCATTAAGCCTCAATCAATTAGTACAATCAAAATCAAGGCAGAGCTGGTTCGGTCTTCACCTCGAAGCCGACATAGCACATGAGTAGACGACCGACTTTAAAAGCTAGAACAACCTTGGTTATCACAACCTCTCCTATGGCTTGATCCTTGCACAAATAGTGGAACCCGATCAATATATTTATTATGTAAAGAAGCTGCTGCTTGGCGTCTACTGCATGAAAAGCTAGACAGTCACTAGTAAACTGGGGCCTTCCCATAATCAACGAGTTTTATCCGGGTTCACGTGTCAATCAGTTTTACAGACGCCCGTGGCGAAGGTCGAGTACGCCCAGCACGTTTGCTCTTGCCCAGGAGTATTGATCACGCCGAGCGGCACGATCAATCTATCAGTTTTATCACGCAGAATATGCACACACGCGCGTAGAAGTAGAAGCGATATCACCACGTGGCTACGATGTTTCGCATTCAATTTCACCGCGCTCACGAAGCATACAATCACAGCCACGTCGCCACCATGATGCGAGCGCCCCTGGTGACCTCCTGTCCCTATATTTATCGGCATTTGATAGAAGCGAAACAAGCAGCACGAAAGCGCTGCGGTGTGCACCCCTGCTCCCTTAGAGAGTGGAAATTTCCACGGTGCAGGTGGAACTTAATAACGTGCCCGAAAGACGACAAACACCCAAGAACACGCCGGGGGGGGGGGGAGGTGCGCGTTGAGTTGGAAAAAGCGCGACAATCTTTCGTGACGTCACTGCACTGTTAAAATGTTGACTGAGTGGCGGTGCTGACGTGCTCGCACACAACGTTTTTTAGGGGTGAAGCTTCTTACAGCGGCACTTGTTCGTCCCTCGTAGGTGTTGTAGTGTGTAACAAGTATAACATTTTGACCTCCAAAGTGGTGCCCGTTAGAGATTTCTTCTGTGCGTTGTTGAACAATAAGAGATAGTGCTTAATGTACATGCCAATGGCTGTTAAAGGAGAATGAGAGACAGGAGCATTCAGCTTTTAGTTAACGTGCACGCTGCAATCCCCGTTAGCAGCCATTGGCATGTACATTGAGCACTACCTGACAAGAAATGGTTGCTACGTTATACTCGTTGGATGTAAACTCCTTATTTTTAGGTAGGTTTAGCGAGCCTTGGGCCGCAGTGCCATGATACAGTGTCGCTTGCCACTGTTTAAAAGTTGACTGAGTGGCGGCGCTGACGTGTTCGCACGCAACGTTTTTCTGATAACCACCGCTGTAGTGAACTATAACCACCGCAAATGTCTCAAATGCGTTTCCAACGCCACGTGCGTTCCTGTAGTCATTTCTTTTTCAACGCTGCTATCACACTGCGCACTGTCTTCATGCCATGGCCACTGCACGGCGAGCTCGAAGCTAACTCCTTGGGTTGAACTGGTTTCTAGTTCACCCGAGAAGCTCGGGCCATCCTGCATAGCACCCCTGGCTGGTCACGCCTATTTACAAACGCCAGGAAGGGTTTGTTCCGGCCCCTATAAGAGTCCTCCGTTCCATAGACGCATGGTCTTCATGTAGGCTGTAGTCTAGAAAACGCGATATATAAGCAAAGTAGCTGACGTTAACACGTTCGTTAACGCAACGACTGGGCGTGGCCTACGCTCCAGGGTATCGGCGTTCCTCGCCGAGCGGGTGCAGATAATTCTGGGCGCGCCATTGTTTAAAACAAAAACAAAAAAATGAACTGCTCGAGGCGGTATTTAGCCTTTCTTTGTCTGCACCCCGTAGAGCGTTGTGAAATAGCGGGGGACCCTTTTAAAAAGCGCCTGTCAGCTTTGGGTGTGGTGCCGCTCACGCCTGTCTGCACAGTTACAGCGTGGGCAGACACATCCCGGCAAGGCCACTCGTCAAATAGCAGCGCGAGCTGCGATAGGAAGAAATTACTCAAGCCGTACCCTCGGATTAATGTTGAAGACGTGACAGGCTGGGTACATTTAGAGGCGACCATCGCCGAGATCAAATTAATGCATTTGTGATTTCAGTCATGGCTCATTTGCAATGCCATACTTCGAAAACAGTTACTTCACTTCGTCGCACAATCTTCACCGAAATGATTTTAAGAGCTCCTACAGTACCTGTTGCTAAGTCGCTAAATTGATAAGAAGCCTCAACAAAAAATGCATGTACTAATAGTTCTGAAATCGGGTAACTTGAAGGCCCCCAAACATCGCGGTGAAGAAGGTTGTCTCGAGGACCGAATAAGTAACAGTACAGTGACAGATATTTGCTAATATACAGAAGTCTCGCAATAAAATAAAACCTAGTATTATAAAAGGACGTCACTAAGGGACTAACACTTTGTAGCTTTTTGATGACGTATGTGCAGTCTCATTTTCTTTGAAGTCTAATTACCTGCTATGTTGTGGAACACTAGTCAAAGGGTTTATTTTTCACAGAATATATGCCTATGAAAAAGTATGCACTATTATTACGGACGCACTGGCAACGGTCATACCTTTTCATTAATGAAAAAAGATGACTTCGCGAGCAATTAAGGTTTACACGACTGCAAGAAACAAATCAGCAAGGTGTTCTTGCAGGCATTGTCAGTGATGCACACTTGGGCGTTAGCATCAGTCTGTAGAACACGCCGGTAGTATGCCAGCATGGCAAGTGCGCGCACCGGCAATGTCAAAGACTGGGTGCCTTATATTTCCATCAATTATATTGTATATAGGTCTGCGGCTGCATTTCAGATGGAGGCGGAAACGTTGTAGGTCCGTGTACTCAGATTTGGGTGCACGTTAAAGAACCCCAGTTGGTCGAAATTTCCGGAGCCCTCCACTACGGCGTCTCTAATAATCAAATGGTGGTTTTGGGACGTTAAACCCCACAAATCAATCATGTCTCAAAAGAAGTACTCTAAACCGAAACCTTGAATGCGTAAATGTATACGTATATATGTCACAGTCATCACTCGCAGCGCTCATGTTTCCATCAAATCTAATGCCCGACAGGTTTCCCTTTTTGTGGGAGCTGTTATATATTAGTAAAACTGTGTATTACATACGTGTGTAATCTAGTCACGACTGAACGATAAACAACAAGTGGACAGCCTCCCTTGAAGCCCCCTATTCACAAAACTCTTCGACGCTAAAAACTGTATTAGGAGACTATTTCACCCAACTATGATGATTCGTGGAGCCGGCTTGCCAATGGGAAAAAAATAAGTTTCTTGAATTCTGTCACAGGAGAGTTGAGTGAGAGATAGGAACAGGTCCCCGTTCTGTTTGCTATAGCTATGCGCGTGACAGGTAGTGAGGCGACGTCGGAATGCACCTGGATACAAGTCGATACAGGTTCACGAATTTACTCGATCGTGCAACCTCGCAACTCACGGCGCGCAACACCGACACCGAAAGAAGGATTAGAGCAAGTCGAGAAAAGGATTTCAAACGTGAATACTCACAGCTTCGTGTCGCGATGACACCGGAGAGAACAGGGGAACGAGTACGGCGAAATAGGCAGGCGAGCCGGCACTCGCACAAACACAAAAACACACACACGCAGGTGAGAGTTGGCGAGAGGGGAGAAAGTCACAGTGGCGGGCCGAGCGAGCAAAACAGGCGGCTCACGAGTGTATTCACGAAAACAATGAAATCAAGAGAAAAGGAGCACTGCAATCTCGAGTCCCTCAAGACGTCGTCGACTGTGGAAGGTGGACCGGCTGGCGGCGTTGTTGCGAGTACAGACGCACAGTTACAAACATGACCCACAAACAAGCCGAGAGCGAAGTGGTGTGTGGCCCGAGCGCGCGCGTAGCAAAGAGTGCTTGCTGTCCGACTCACCGTTGGTCGGCCGGGCGTGAGCGGAAAGAAAGCAAGGAAGATGAGAGTGGAAAAGCGGGAGAGAGGAATAACGGGCCGGAAGAGCTGAAAGAACAAAGAGGAGTGAAGGAGAGAGAGAGAGAGAGAGGGCAACCACGGGTGAAGGAAGCGAACAACTTTCACGGGACGTGACGGGCCATTTGCGTCGAGTAGCGGTTTCTCCTCGTATGGTAACAGAGAAAGCAGGCAGGCTCCTAAAACTTCCGTCGTTTTATCCCGATCGACGGAAGTTTCGAAAAAACTTCCCGCGGGGACTGGAGTTATAGACCAACCCGACTACCCTTCCCTCTCCGAACGTCATCTCTCTACTACCCTTTACAAGCGGGACCCACCTGCCGCACGTGCGGGCTCACATTGTCTGAGCTGGCCTCTTGACGTCACGCCGTCCGTTCTGGGAAAGGGGAAATGTGGAGATGATTGCCTCTCGAATGCCTTGAACCGGACTGCCACGCTGGCGAAGTGTGCCGGTGGGCGCACGGACCGTAACGAAAGTGAAACGATTAATTATAAGCGAGTGCGTTGTTCGACGACTGTAGTGGCCCGTGCGTTCTGAAAGAACTGCTGATTAGATACAAAGAAACAGGTCCGCTTGAGTGGACACTTTAAGAAACCCGTTTATTGAGCTAAAAAAGCGTGAACTGCTCACAGACCCAAGAAAGGACATGTCAGCATGGCACTCTATGTGTATGTATCTACCATCGCGATCATTGTGACTAACAACACGGGAGCGTGGGGCACGCAAGCGCCAGTAATTGTGAATGGCTTCCTCAGCGTATTCAAAGCCATGTTTTTTAAAGGCGATAGTCTTTCTTGGGGACTTTTAACGCAAAAAATTTGGTCTGCCTGTTTGTCCAACCTGAACGATACTTTACAAGGCACCAGAGTTACAAGACGATACCCCAAACGACCGATCCCATCTGCAGCGCCCCCCCCCCCCCCCCAAATGCTGCTCATACTTGTGCGTTCATACTTGTTTCAGCGTTTTCAGCAAGTTTCTGTTTTGCAACTTGTTTCTGTTTTCAGCAAGATTCAGCGTTCATACTTGTGCGATTGTCAATTAAAAAGCAATTATTGCCCATATCTGAGGCACCGTAACAACACGTATATATTCTGTATGTGCGTATTTTACTAGAAAACGCATACATAAGTAATTTTAAGGACCATCGCGTTTATCACGCTCCGCTGAAAATGCAACGCTTGCACGAAAAAGCGAGTGTTCTCAACGCTTTGCTAAGACGACACGGTGGTGGCACCTATCCATCGTTTTGCGTTCTACACCTTATCACTCTGAGACGGGCAAGCGCGCCCGTCTCCGAGCCACGCGCTTCGTTTTCCAAGAAAACTGCAGATAGCGCTCTTGTCTGATGTGTGACGTGGCTTGATGCGCTCGTTCGACTCCGCCGCACGCTCGAGGCACTCTAACACAGTGCCTCCAGAGTACCATTTACCGATTTCTTGCGGGGAACATCAAATAAATGTTTTGTTCACTCCTTCCACACGCAAGACTATCATCTGTCGACGACATTTGCAGATTAACATGCAGATACGGGGCCAATTTTTTGTCTATTTCGTTGCATCGATGGATAAGAAAACAGCATTCAGCCGTGAAATGAAGGAATAGTGGGAACCACGAGTGATCTCGGAGTTGGTGAGAGCGCCCGTTCCCGTTTTATATGTCATACGAAAAGTGACTTTAAACGCGCGTGAATCACGCTTACTTTTTGTAGTAAGCAACTTAAGCATCCAAACTACCAATCATTTTGTCAACTGCGCACTTATGAACTGGAAGAAATATTGCAAAGACAGCGAAAACACAGGATGAAGGCAGGTAACACCAGGGCATGTCTTGTGTTAGCGGTGTTTTATTAATATGGAGCTTTAGAATACCGTTTGCAAGCGCTGCGTGCGCTGCGGGCGCCATATGAGCTTTAGAATAGCGTTTGCTCTGCTGCGATCCGCAACGCACGATCGCAGCGACACCGTAGCCTCGAAACCAGCGCTTGCGGGCCACACGCGGGCCGCCATCACCGCCCATAGCCTCAAAACCAGCGCTTGCAGGCCAAATAGGGGCCACTATTACCGCACGCAATTCCGGATTTTTAGCGTGTGGTCCGCGAACGCCGACCCGCGTTACGACGCATGCGCAGTGGCAGCGACCTCACTGCAAGGGCTCGCGGTGCGCTATTCTAAAACTCCCTGTTTTTGTTTCTATGCAACCACCCACTTTCACCGCTTCTCCTGTTGAGAATCACTTGCTACATGCACGGTCTTAGAAAGGGTTCAATTTTACCGTTCTCGACTTCAAGCACCCAAATTGGTTTTACCATAATGACATCACAGAGGAACTTAATTGTCTTACGTATTTACACGTATTTTGGTAGAGATTTCCGAAGTCCTCCACTACGGCGTCTCTTATAATTATGTGGTGGTTTTGCGATGTTAAACCACTCATATCAATCGATCAATCAATCACCACACATTTTTTTCTTTCCCGTGCTGAATGACACTTAGTAGACGTTCCCTCAAGTTACATATGCATGTTGACAATGTTACATCAATCTTAGACCGATTGACGCATAGGTAAATAGCAGCAACACAAAGACGTCGTCAAAAAGAAGCACACCGTCGATTTCTGATGCGACGCAGCGAAAGTGCCAGTTTCGAAACAGCGTCGCACGGTCATCATTCACTTGCCCTAGTTTTTTTTCCTCTTGGTGAACTAAACCCACTTGAAATGCGTGAAGAGTTAAACAACTCGAATGTATTACTCAACTGGGACGTTGTAAGGGTGCTTATATACGTGCGCCAACTTTGAGTATATACGTCCGCATCGGTGGTAAAGTGCCTATACAGTATTCGGCTGCTAAATTTGAAAGTCGCGGGTTCCATCGCCACCGCTTTGGCCCTGTGTGTTTCATCACAGTCATTTTTTCTTCGCGTGTAGGGATAGTATCTGCGTCTTTTACCATATGTGGAAAATTTGATTTCGTAATAAGTAATTGTTGGAGTTTCACGTTTATGAGACGCAGTGTAATGCGAGGCTCCCTATTGATTTGTACCACATGCGCTTTTTGTTACGGTGCCACTTAGTCTAAACATATGGGGCTGTAGTATTTCGACAAAATTTAAGTTGAGTTTTGTTGTCAAATTATGACGTAGTTAAACCCACAACATAAACACACAATAGGCTCCATAATGTCATTCAATACACGACACATGCAATAATCAATATTCCACAGCGCTCACGTGTCTCGTGTGTTTTCTACATCACACGTTCTGTGTATATACGTTGTGACTGTATACCTCTAGCATTTTGCCTACATCGGAATGCAGCCGTCGTGATGGCCTTCGGGTGAGCATGCAGTAAAGCACCATCGGCATAATCACAGAACTACGAAAGCGCTATTCACACAAGCGCCAACAGGCTGCGCAGAGATCTCCGCTTCAGACCAGTTAGCACTTTCATCAGCTTTTTACGACAGCTCTTCAGACAGGCGAAATTATTCGTACGTTTTAATGCCAACAGACGCACACCCCTTTAGTACTGTTATGCGTGCTCAGCATTAAGCGCGCTGTATACGTTGAAAACGTTGTTCGCTTGCCAAGTAAACGTCCTTGAACGTCTGATATTCTGTCGGCTAAGATCCGTTGCAACCGCTACTGTGATTTTTTTTCTTGTGAAGTTGAATGCCGTATAGACTGGGTAGTGAGAAATATGTGCCAGGAGCAATACTCCTCTACTTTCGCACATAGCCTATAAGAAATGTGGAAAGAGAGTAAGCGTTTTTATCAGCTCGTGGTTATCTGAGGGTGCTTGTTTGGGTCGCGAGAAACTTCTTATGTTCAGCGTACACCGTGGATAATTATGTGCGGGGACAACTTAATTTTTTACTTTTTCGCCTATCATGACGAAATAAGTGCAACTTGTATGTAGGCTTAGAAAGAACACAGGGTGGAGCGCTTACCAGCTAATGAAAGTTTTTATTTGGGAAAGAGAGTTCTGAAATAAGCCTCACCAGAGTACACGTCACCTCAAACTATCCTTATTATAAAACAACAGTGCTAGTTCGTGAAAGATAGCAATTATAAACGTTTCAAGCCAGCGGGGAAGCTTGTGTTAAACCACTGAACTATCAGAAAAACACCGAGCCTTGTTATATAAAGGAAAAAGCAAATTCAGTCTTCGTATAAGTTAAGTTTGTGTCATCATGCACGTTTAACAGCATGTCTAATTGTCAGTTATCCTTATTCATGACCTCCTTTTCACGGCTTTCATGAAATCTGTGACAGCAATAACAGGTAGCATGAATCATGCCATCTGGGTAGATATCGCCGCCACATCATCGCACTCGATATGTTTTGGCCCGCAAATTTGTTGAGCTAGGTCAAATGTGTTATTTGAATATAACTGAGTACTTCACCATTTCTCAATTATATATTGTGGTAATGTATGTTGCTAGCCTTTAAGATAGGCGTATATTAAAGCCAACATTTATTTATGGCACAATAGGAATACACACTCGTCCAAGTGGTTACAAAAAAAAATCCTTTTCTGTCGGATTCCATTCAAAAGTTATGACCTTTTTTGGGGATCTGCCCTCAAACGGAAATTCATCATGTCAGGAGCTCTTAAATCCTACTCTTGAAACATAACATTAGTATTTTATTTGTAACTTCCAACTTCAAACAAATTCAGCTTCTGCAATGAAACGTTCTACGCCTTCTTGCTAATGGATGGACCAGTGAATTGAAATTGAATAGTTGAAAAAGAGAAGTTTTTATGCAATAAAATTTCAATTGAATTGCGGCCTTCCAAAATGACACTTTTTGTTTGATTTTGGTAATTAATTAGTTTACATTGATGACCTGGCAAAGATGGTGGTTTTTTGCACATGCTACACACATGCGCAGCTAAAATATTACCAAGCGATTCCGTTTCCTTAGCTTGAATTGGTGGTCGTGCCTTTTCGCG